GGGCCCCCCGGCGGCGCTGCCTCTCGGCGCCGGGGCCCTTCTGTCCTCCTCGCTCCCGCGCGGGGAGTCGCCGCCCGCCCCAGCCGCCGGCGCGAAGGAGCGAGACCAGCCTCCCGGAGGCGGCGATGAGGTAACCGCCCGCCCGTCCCTCCCGCTCCCCTGCCCCCGGACGCCCCTCCCGGGAAGGGTCGCGGGAAGGTGAGTGGAGGGCGGGGAGCCGGCGGGGCCTGATCCCCCGCCACGACCCGCGCTCCCTTCACCTCTCCTAAACGCAAGCCCTTTCCCGCCCGCCTCGCGTCTGCTCCTCCACCAGTTTGGACACCGCGTGTGTCCAAACTGGCTCTAGACAAAGCCCTGGCCCCCTGCAGTCAGGCGGCCCGGGGTCATACCGGGTCCCACCTGTGTGACCTTGGCGAATAATGCACTGAGCTGGGTCCCTGCTCTGCACCCATCAAAGGCAGACACCTGCCTCCAAGGGCTTCTGGGTTCTGTGAGAACCCACTAGGTGCCAGACCCCTTTCTAAACTATGTGATCTTTGAACCAACCGTCTGTCCAATCTGGTGTCTCCATTTGAGAGAGCGGGGAACTGAGGCTGGAGACGACCTCAGTGTGAAGGGCAGGGAGGCCCCAGGCCCTCGGCCGGCCTTGCCATCTCCTGTGAGGCCCCTGACACCCGCCTCCCACCCACGGAGGTGAATAGCCCACTGCATATCTCAAAGGACTGTGGTGGAGGAGAGGGGAGGGGCTGGCAGGAAGGGCAGAGTCTGGCACACACTGAGTCACACAGTAGCTCAGCCCCAAATCCCTGCCTCAACAAGGCTGCAGGTGAATAAATATAGAAAAATCCAAAAATCAGCGACACCACCTCCATTGCTGCTAAGACCACGTTTCCTGCGGGAGTCTTCACTTGTAGCTTCCCTGGGAAGAGTGCAGTCTCCAAACCAGATTCCCAGCCTCCAATGCCCTCTCCCTGGTGGAGCTGGTGGAGCTGGTGGGGGAGCTCGTCCCCCTGTGACCCTCCTTCTGTGGCTCTGCCACCCTTCCCTGTACATGGGGGGGCATCTCTGCCCTCACCCAGGTGCTGAGTGAAATGCACGTGTCTGTTTCTACACCAAGGGAGGTTTTTTCGGTTGTTGTTGGTTTTGCTTTGTTTTGTTTTGTGGGTTGTCTCACGATGCAGTTCAGGCTGGCTTTGAACTCACTTGGTAGCCCAGGCTGGCCTCACACTCCGGGTGATCCTGCTGGCTCAGCCTCCCCAGTGCTGGGATTACGGGTGTTCGCCACCCCGCCTGGCATGTTTCCCTTCACGCTGCAAGGAGGATTATGCGCGGCCCCTCTGGGTCAGTGTGGCTTCTCAACATGTGCATTTGGAATGATGGAGGGCACTGTGGACTGCGAGTGTCCCAAGATTCCCACAAAGTCCTGCACACTGCAAGGGTGACACCTTCCCTGAGGGAATCACACCAGCTTCACCAGCAGCAGAGGCTGTGATGTCAGCCCTGATCCCCAGCCACTTGCTCACGGAGGCTCACGGTGATGCCGTGATTTGGCTGAGTTGTGCAGAAGGAAGGAGGACTGGAAGTCATGCTCTGGGCTCCTGGGCCTGACCTTCTAACAACCTCAGCTTCTCCAGGGCCCAGGGGCCAGAGAGGCTTCTGGAGGGGATTGCTTGATCACCTGCCCTTTGGCCCTGTAGGGAGAGACTTTAAAGAGGCCTCTGTCCTCTGTGTGGCTGAGCTGAGCTATGAGGGAGTGGGTGGCCTGGGCCTGGCTTCCCAAAGATTAGCAAGCAGGGCAGCTTGGGCTGCCTGAAATGTGGGTTTCAGAGTTTCTCTATCAGTGTCCTCTCCTTCCCCAAAGAGAGGCTGTGGGGCTGCTGCCAGCTGTGCCACCCCAATCCCTATTCCCTCAGGACACCACCCCCCCTTACAGGTTTCTACCCAGAATTTCAGGGGCTGCCATTCAAACACACCAATGTCTTTTCCCTTGGCTCTGGGGGGCGGGGGTGGAGCAGAGTGGCCAAGCCAGTTGTTCTTTTCTCTGTCATAAGAGGGAGACAGACATGCAGCCAGGGACAGATAGATGGAGACAGGAGCCCTGAGAGCTGGTTGAGGCCTGGGAGTAGAGGAGCCTAAGGCAGACACCAGCCTCGCTGAGGGTAAGGGGCTGGGGAAATCTGGGGACGCACCAAGCCTGGCCCTGAAGGATGGAATCCCAGGGTATTCTGGGTAGGGAGGCAGCTGAGTGGGCCTGGACAGGGGCAGGCAGAGATGTGGGGATTCTGCTTCCCCCAGTTCATCACTCACAGCCTCCACTAGCAGCTAGCAGGCGCCACCACCACAGGACCGCTTTTCACACGGCTTCGTCCCAGCTGGCCTGGTTCTAGCCCCTCTCGGAGGTCAAGCACCCTGGACTCCATCAGCTCCGGGGAGGCATCTGCCCTGGGCACCTCTGGGCCAGCGATCTGGGCCACACCAATGACCGAATCACAGCCTGTCCTGCCGTTTATTGAGGCTCCATGACACTTGTTCTGGCAGCGGCTCCAATTCTTGAACCACCTGTGGCCCCCATGCCCCCTCTATGCTGTCCTCACCACAGTGACTCCTGAAGGCCAGGCCTGGTCTTACAACCATCCAGACCTAACGCAGCACAGTGAGACTTCTTGGGGTCTAAAACCTTCCTCCCAGGGCTGTGTCACCTGTGCACGTTTCTTGAGCTCTCTGAACCTAAGCTTAGGTTGGTGAGATAAGATTTATACATATAAAACAATTCCACTTTGTGTATGCAAATGTGTAGAGTACAAGAGATGGAAGCTAGAGTGCTTTTTTTTTTTTCTCCTTTATTTTTGAGACAGGATCTTGCTAGGTTGCCCAGGCTAGACTTGAACTTGGAACCTCCTGCCTCTGCCTCCTGAGTAGCTGGGATTACAGTGTGGTATGTACCACCACACCTGGCACAATTCCCACTTTTATAAGTAAGGAGCATGACTTCCAGTCCGCCTTCCTTCTGTACAACTCAGCCAAATCACGGCATCACCGTGAGCCTCCGTGAGCAGATCCCCCATCTCTGCCTGCCCCTGTCCAGGTCCACTCAGCTGCCTCCCTACCCTTTCTACCAGCTGGGTTTCCATCCTTCAGGGCCAGGCTTGGATGCGTCCCCAGACTTCCCCAGCCCCTTACCCTCAGCGAGGCTGGTGTCTGCCTTAGGCTCCTCTACTCCCAGGCCTCAACCAGCTCTCAGGGCTCCTGTCTCCATCTATCTGTCCCTGGCTGCGTATCTGTCTCCCTCATATGACAGAGGAAATAGCTACCAGTTGTAAGATATAATGGGAGATATGTATATATAAATAAGCACGTGCACATATGTTTTCTAGCTCTGCCAGCTCAGAAGGCCATGAAGTAACAGCGCAGGAGCAATAAGCACATTCAGCCCCTGGATCTTGGTTTCTAATACCACCTCCAAGGAGAGGAACCAGGCCTCTTAGGAAAAGGGCTGATGGTGAGATTGGGGCAGGACAAACACAAGATGAGCTCGAAGTGTCTTGTGCTGCTGGGAGGTAAGGAAGTGCTGCACATAAATAAATAAAAGGATGGTAGCATGTCAAAGGGACAGAGGAGCCTGCAGGAAAGAGTTCCTAATAGGCAAAACAACCGTATGAACAAAATAAATTACACTCAAGTTATAAAATAAATACCCAGAAGTCCAAACTGATAGAAACGTTTCACTGCATAAATAAATGTGAAAGAAATTTCTTACAGGAGAATTCCAAAGACTTTATGTAGCTCCTCCTTCCCACACGCCTTTCCTGAGTGTAGGCTGCATGTAGTGTTCTGCTTCCAAAAAGAAGAGGACAGAAATGGGGGAAAATTTCAAATGAAGGCAGCCTTCCCACACTTCCCTTGGGCAGGGGCACCTAGGATGTCACAAGAGGGTTAGCGGGTCCTCGAGACAATGTGATGAGAAGAGTGCCTTTACGGTTCTTTTCTTAAAAACCCATAAGCTACCAGGTGTGGTAGCACATGCCTGTGACCCTGGCTTCTTGACAGGCTGAGGCAGGAGGGTCCAAATGCAAAGCTAGCTTGAGCAACTTAGTGAAACTCTTTCTCAAAATAAAAAGGTGTGAGGATGTAGCTCAGTGGTGTGAGTGCCTGGGTTCCACCCCTAGAGCCACAAACCAAAACCAAAAACTCATAAAATCAGGATGGCCACAAGAAAAACACCAGACAAATCTAAACTGAAGGACAGAGTGGCTGACAAGTACTTTTTGTTTTGGTTTTTGAGTCAGGGTCTCTCTGTACAGTTCAAGTTGGCCTTGAACTCACTATGTAGCCCACTTGGCTTTGAACTCACAGCGATTCTCCTGCCTCTGCCTCCCAAGTGCTGGGATTACAAGTGTGTGCCACCATGCTCAGCAGACCAATGCTTCTTGAAATTGTCACGGTTATGAGAGAGAAGTCTTTGAGAAACTGTCACAGGAGACATGAGGATGACATGGAACATGGGGTTCTGGATTAGAAGGACATGAAGAAGAAAACTGCTAAAATCTGAACAAAGTCTGATGTTTAGTTTAAACACTGTTATATAATTTGTTGTTTATTTTTA